TGTAAGCTGCTGTGATTGTTGGTCTCTTAGTTATCACACAGAAATTTAGCCTGTCAAGATGAATTGCATTTCTTCTCCTTGAATTTTTCTTCGGTGATAGTTAATTCTGTTGAATAGACTTACACTTTGGAATTGGACATTGATTTATGTATGTGAGGAATGTTAGGACAGCAGCAATTAGGAACTAAGAAGTCGCTATACTTGGTTAGTCATATTTTATGATGAATTTGTAACAAGATAGTAAACTTTTAGATTGTGGAATTAAAACATTTTTTGGTTTTGATGTTGAATTTAGTCAGCAATCCCCAAGAATATTATGAGATTTTAAAATGTGTTGGTTAACTGGCTTTTAAATTTGTGTTCTCTAATAATGCAAAATCATCATTTGGTAAGAAAACCATAGAGCATAGTGATTAGAGGCTGGGTTTGGGATTAGAAGGAACAACGATAGACTCTTGGCTTTGGGTTTACTGTCCTTCTGATCTTGAACTGGTAAAGATTTCTAGCAGCAGTTGTTGCATGCCCGTATTAGGAATGATCATAAAAGGTACCTTGTAGTCTGTTACAGACATTGTCAGAAAACTGTGAAAAATGATTATGACATTCTTACGGTTATTATTGAGTACATGGTATTGTTATTACTACTTTTAAATCACATCACCTGTGAGGAGCGTGTTTCTCACATCTTATCTCTGAATCCAGCATGCGTTTTACAATTGGTGGAGACTTATAATTATTGATAAATACATTAGCATGGCATCATACATTTGTAGAAATAGACTATCATTAAACCATTACCTGGGTTCTAGACTGGCTCATTTGAGCGTCAGAATGGAGGGAGTCAACAGGCCATCATTCAGTAGTAACGTAAAGACTGGTTTTTCCCATGCTGTCATGTGCTGAAACCCAGAACCTCATTTGTTTCTCACATATTTTTGAAAAATTTGTTAGAGAATGTGAGATTCCCACAAAGGGGGCTCCTTGATGTTGAAACATGTTTAAGTTTACTATGATGAGTTCTGGGAGCTCTTTCCTGAGCATGATTCAGCCTGTGACCATGCCCAAGACATTCCTATTACCTTTGTCTCTACAGTTTCGATGATGCATGACTGTTAGTTTCTTCCACAAAATCTCTCATATCTCACTTGAAAGTGTCCCCTAACACATTTGAGTTTCCTTAGTGGCATCTAGTTATGTTTACTGCCTGCATTGTCTCCATAGAAAAATGTCTTGAATTTTCTTTATTATAAAATATTAAGAAATAACACAAATGAATTTTATAACAATGTGTATTATTATAAGTGCTGTTTATGTGTTGGTCTGAAAGTTCATTGAGAACATTTATCATAATGCTTTTAAGGTTACTACTGTTAATATGCTGAAAAAAATATATTTCACAAACCCAGAGATAAAAGCATGATACGGTCGATTATGTGGGGACCACAAATTCCTCTCTATTCCTGTACCCATATCCATTTACCCTCACCATCCCAACTGTAGCAGCTGGGTGCAGACCATTACCTACCAGCTGAAAGCAGTTAGAATACAACAGCCAACCCATAACACTACTAGACATAATATGTCACTTCTGTTTGTAGATACTAAATTTGGAGTAGTTTTTCCACACTGATAAATGACTAAACAAAGCCAGAGTCTCTTAACACTAAGAATATGTTTATCTGAATTACAGAATTAAAGGAAGAAAGTGGGAAGAAATTTGAAAAAGTCTCTCAACTTTTGTTTTTGTTTTAATCTTATTGAGTTTATTGGTACTTTTTAAGAATACAGTACAGTTCCATTCATCATTGGGATCTTGTACCCTTACATGGCAGGTCTTGGTTCTCATGTTTTCTCCATACCCCTGCCCTCCCTTCAACCCCTCCACTCTCCCCTATTTACAAAGACTTTGTTTTCATTTTTTTTCCTTTTCTCATAGTTTTTCTTGCCCCTTATTTCCTTTCCCCTACACCTTTAGCCCTTTTATTTCCATTTCGCATTGTCAGTTTCAACTTGCGTTTTTATCAGTCCAATATTTGTGGCACATGAATGGAATTTACTGTTTATATAGGTATAAAGATGTAGAGTGTGACTTAGTTTTTTCATAAAACCATCACAATGTGATTTCACATTTTTAAAATTAATTTTAATTGAGGCGTAATCAGTGTACATACTTACGGGGTAAATGTATATATATTCAGTATATGTACGATCTGTAATGATTAAGCAAGAAAATTAATGTATCCATCACCTCAAACATTCATCAATTTATTGGGAACTTTTATATTGGGGACAAATAAGTGTGTTCATGCAGTGATTGACTTTCTGTGCCTGGATTATTTCCCCTGTCTGCCACAAATGATGAAATGTGATTTTCTTATAGATAAATAATATTCCACTGGGGAGATATTTTGTGTGTGTGTGTGTGTGTGTGTGTGTGTGTGTGTATTTAGTTCTTCCCTTTATCCACTCATTTTCATTGAAGTACATCTAGGCTGATTCCGTGTCTTGGCTACTATGAATTGTATGGCAATAAACTAGGGATTTCAAGTGTCTCTTTGATATGTTGATGTCCTTTTCTTTGGAGAT